GGCTGTAAAACATGCCTAGATAGCCAAGGGGCCACATGGAATATTTCAATGAAGGAAAACTCTATCTTTAAAGAAGATGCTGCCAGCTACTAGCCTCAGGTGAAGACTGGTAAAATAAACCTTGACAAAAAGGGAATGTTCTTACTGTATGTAAGGGTACCTTGTTTTTGTGAATGGGGTTCTTGTCCGGATGTCTGAAGATCTTTTGGATATATTTGGAATTTGAAATCTTAATTGTTGGAAATTGAATAGATAGAAGGGGGAATTGAGAATTGGGGAGACCATCACTTTGCACTGAGGTGTCTTTTGCTCTGTGGTGACACCTGAGAGTGTCAAAAATCTTGACTCATCCAGGGAAGGGCTGTGAATTAGCAGAAATGTTTTTGGGGAATAAAAATGAAGCTTTTTTTTTCTCTATTCTTTTTATACTCTATATTTGCAAATTTACTTACCTCAGCCAGGAAGGTCAATGGAAATTAATTTACATTGGATACAAGATGAGAGAACTAGAAATTAATTTCTTGAGTTTACTGTGAAATTTTGAACATTTACACATTCATGCTATAAAGAAGTATTACCCTAGTTAATCTCATGCAAAATGGCAGCTTTTACAATCTGTTTAGCATACCAACAAACCATTCTTATTAGTTATGACATGCATGTTAATAACAGGGACAAGATTTCCAGATTTCCTTTTCTTATAAGACCACAACCATTGGTAAGAACCCCAAGAACAAAACCAGGATGTCCACGCATAATGTGACCAAGGTTGCAGATGGGTTAACAGAATTGACTCCACAATCTTGAGAGGCACATCCACACACATTTTATGAACATTTTATATGACAGTTGTTAAATTTTGATAACCATTTTTCAAAGCATGCGTATTTTTCTAAAGGTACTTTACAGAAAATGCTTCCCCCCTAATTTGGTAAAAGGATTCATTCTGTGAGCCTATTAAATTAGTATGAATAATAAAGTAACTTTCAGCCTCATATGCTTTCCTCTTATTGGTTCTTATTCCATTAACACTTATTCTCAGTTGTAAATTCTGGCGCTTTCTAAAGAAATGGTAAAATCTCTTTCTAAAGAGATGGTAAATGTTTTAATAAATTTCTCTTTGAGGGGAAAAAGAAACAAAACTTAGTCTCTTTCCTCAAGATGTTTACAATCTATTAGAGATGACAGATACTTTTAAAAATACATGTTTCTGTTTCTATTATGGAGCAAATGCAAAAACACTGTGGAAACATTCTTTTTTTTTTTTTTTTTTTTTTTTTTTTTTTTGAGATGGACTCTCATGCCATCGCCCAGGCTGGAGTGCAGTTGCGCGATCTCGGCTCACTGTAACTTCTGCCTCCCAGGTTCAAGCAATTCTCCTGTCTCAGCCTCTCAAGTAGCTGGGACTAGAGAGTAGCTGCCACCATGCCCGGCTAATTTTTGTATTTTTAGTAGAGATGGGGTTTCACCTTGTTGGCCAGGAGTTCGAGACTAGCCTGGCTGGTCTCGAACTCCTGACCTCAGGTGATCCACCCACCTCTCAAAATGCTGGGATTAGAGGCATGAGCCACTGCACCTGGCCAGGAAACATTATTCTTTCTGGGGGTGTCAGGGAAAGCTTCACAGAAGAAATAAAATTCAAACTGGGTTTTCAAGGGTGATGGGGAGTTTGACACGTGGAAGGAGGGGCAGGAGGACCTTCTAGTCAGAAGGAGCAGCATGTAGAGTGGTGCAAAGGCTTGAGAGACTGATGTATTTGAACACATATTTGTCTTGTGTGTGGGATATTTTTAAAAGAAATTTTATGTATGTATTTTTAAAATCACATACATTTAAGGCATACAAGTGTGATGTTTTGATATACATATGCATAGTGAAATGATCACTATAGTCAAGAAATTAACATATTCCTCACTGCACAATTACCTTTTTATTGAGGTAGAATACCTAAAATCTAGTCTTTCAGCAAATTTTCCGTATACAATATTAACTATAGTCCTCATGCTGTACATTAGCTCTCTAGACATTCATCCAGTAGAACTGCAAGTTTATACCCTTTGACCTACAGCTTCCCATTTTCTCTTCCTCCCAGACTGAATAACCACCATTCCACTCTGTTTCTATGTGTAATTTTTAAGTTTCATATATAAGTGAGATGAAGCAATATTTTTCTTTCAGTATTATTTCTTTCCTTCAATATTGTTATTTTACTTAGCATAATGTCCTCCAGGTTCACCCATGTTATTGCAAATATAGGAGCATCTCCTTTTATAAGGCTGAATGATATTCCATTGTACATATATGCCACAATTATTTATCTGTTCATCTATTGATGGGCACTTATGTTGTTTCTACATCTTTGCTATAGTGAATAATGCTACATTGAGCATGAGAATGCAGATATTCTGTGAAGTGCTGATTTCATTTCCTTTGGGATACTCAGCAGAGGGATTGCCAGGTCATATGGTAGTTCTATTTTTAATTTTTTGAGGAACTGCCATACTGTCTTCCATAATGACTGTACCAACTTACATTCCCACCAAGAGTGTATGAGAGTTCCCTTTGTGTATGAGAAAATATTAACATATCCTAATCTTTAGCAACCACCTGTATATATTGGTGACTTCCAAATTGAGCATCTTTCTTATAGACCTCTCTCCTGAATTCAGACTCATATTCTATCTACAAGACATCTGCATTTTGATATTTGTATGGGAACTTTCACTTCATTATAACTAAAACCTAAATTCATTTTATCCTTTTCCCCAATATCTTCCTTCCCCTTTATCTTCTTCAGTGAATGTTAGAGTTCTCCTTCAAGTTATTTGTGTCAAATTTGTAGGTATCATGGAAACTTCTCATTGAGCTGCCTCAAGGGAAAAATTATTGAATATTACCATGTGCTAGAACTAGGTAAACATTTTCCATATATCATCTAATTTAATGCTTTGAATTTAATATTGAAGAAATTGAAGTTTAGAGATTAAATTCCTAAATTGGCTGAGTTGGTAAGTGAAGACACTAAAATTCAAAACCAGGTCTGACTTCAATCTCCATATTGTTTTCATTATGCCACATTGGCCATAAATATCTTGCCTCATTTCTCTTTCTGAGAGGCAAATGTAATCATGTCCTGTCTGTATTATGATTCTTTAACCACTCCCCTTTACTTTTAGGATAAAGCCCACATTCCTTAGCATGTCATATAAATCTTTCATAATTTGGGTGCTGCCTCCCCATTTCCTTCTCATTAACTCTCTGCATTTGTTTTTTGTCACTAAAGGTTCATAATTCTTGCCATTTCCTGAATGAGACTTTTGTCAACAAGATTGTCCTACTTCTCCCTCTCCTTCCTTCTTGTCAACTTGATTCTCTCATTCTTCATGAATGAGTCCAGGTAAAACTTCCTGTATAAAACTTCATAGCTTCTATCGTAGAGTTCAGGTTTTGTTTGTTTCTGTGTTTCTATAACGTCTTGACTCTTGTTATATTGCATTGCTTTGAATCTACCTGCTTGGTCTTCTCCATTAGATTAAGGATGATGGTCTTTTTGCCCCATTCCTTTGTATAAAAATTGGCTAACAAGCATGTGGCACAGAGTAGATGACAGTAATTGTTTATTTAAACAAAATATGGTTTTCCAGCTTTGAAAACTAAGTGGATACTAATATCATTGATCAAGAAATGGAATCACAGAAAGAGGTGAAAATTTGGTAGAGAGGAGATATTGCTTTTGGCATTAATGTGATGTATTTGAGGTCTGTCAATTGGAAGGGGAGATGTTTTATGCAAAGTTGGTCTTAGACTGGAAGCTGAAAATACAGCCAGTGCTCGACTTACGACCACGGTCGGGACTGCGGACCGGTCGTAACAGGATTTGCTCGTAAGTTGAGTAGGCTATATGTACAGTTGAAATGGTGCACATGGAGATGGTAGTGCTGTCAGAAGCTGGTCCACACTGCCGTACGCCCAGCTGGGCAACGTTTGCGCTGCCAGACGCGGAGCAGTTGTGGCTAGCGATTGTGGTCGTAAAGCCGAATGGTTGTAAGTTGCATAGGTGGTAAGTCGATCAATACCTGTAAAAATTTTGGAGCCATTGGATGAAATTATCTAGGGGAAAAAGCATTGCAAGAATACTCCTTCATAGGTGGTGTTATATACTTTACATTGTATCAAATCATGCAGGACATAATGACAGGTTGCCTACCTCTTAATAAAGCTAAGTTTGATCAGTGGATTCAGAAATGATAGGCTGCTATATCCATAGTAAAGTTCCAATCAGACTTTTAAGAAAAGTTCATTCACTGATGATCTCTGCCTTACTTACTTATCTAATTAGAAATTTTAAAATGGTGATTTCCTAATTCTGTCATTCTTTCTGTATTCATTAGCTATAATTCTCCCACAAAGAAGAACTTTCACTTATCTATTAGGGTTATTGGTTTTCTCTGTAACAGGAATGAGGATAAATGTTCATGTATTTCTCTTTCATTGCCAATTTTCAAAATAAGGATTTACCCAGCTCCACTTATGACACATGAGAGATTTTGTTTTTATTCTTGAATATCTCTTTTAGTATTATTATGAGCTCATGGATTTTATATACTATGTATTTCAATTAACTGCAGTCATTAGTCTTTTTGATGCTTAAACTAATCTACCTATGGCCAATGAAGAGACTCCTTTGGGTTACTTCCTCTGTTCCATGATATGATTCCATTTATCTTGATTATTTGCTTTCTGGCATAGCAAGATGTCCAGGCTCATGGTATATGTATTTTCTGTTCCAGTCCTAGAATCAGCCTTTTCTTCAGGAATACCTGTTTTCTTTTACTGAGGAAGGGTTCTTAGAGACCACGGTGAGGGTACTAAGAGTGATTGTTGCTAATGGGTTATCATTGCTTCCAGGCCTTTTCAATAGACAGAACTACAAAATATCTATATTGGAAATGGAAAGCATCATGAATTTGTACAGATATTTTCAAATCAGTTTAACAACATGGCTTTTAAAAAACTTTTTTAATGTTTTAAACAAGCACCAGAACCAGCATGGTATATTTTTTCATGTGTGATTCTCTTGGTTTTGCATCCCATATTGGTTGTCATTGTCCTTATATATCCTTCCTCCCAAAACAGATTCTTTTAAATTTATTTTCCTCCGTTCCTAAAATGAATAAAATTTACTTTACAATACATGTGGGGTTATGTACAGAGATTTGTTCTTAGTGATTTTGTATGATATTTACCCCTTAGCAAATGTAGTTTAAGAACATGTTAATCTGATTTCCAATCACATGATCAGGCGGGTGGATAGTATTAGTGCCATATGCAATGGTCATGTCCCAGGCATCAATGATGCCCATGTTGAGGTCTTTGAAAATATCCTTCATGATAAGATATTGAATATAACCATGGAAGTCTCCAAACCTCTCTGTCTCTATGTGCATCTCCCTGATGTTTTCTGTCTTAATAATCACTTTAGTGGTTGGGCTTCTTAGGAACAGTCTTTCAATAGCCTTTCGGACACCGATGGCCCTGCGAATAAAAATGTCAATGGGAAATGGTCTGAAGTGCTGGCCAAAGGTGATGACGATGGCTGTGTTTTTGTCACCTGATAGCAGGTCAATTTCCCGAGGGATATAATTATGATCTATCAGAGAGTAGAGCTGGAAAGTGATGAAGGGATGGCTGTGTTTTTTCCATTGAATCAGAGTGTGTCTTGCTGCATCCAGAAGCAAATGTTTCTTAAAAATTCCAGTTTCATGAAGATCAAAAAACTGCAGTGCTGATAAAAAGAAATAGTTGTTTTGAATAGAAGTTGATGGTTAATATTCATGGAAAAGAATGTCATATCACTTAAAATACCCACCCACCTAAATAATTGCTCACTGGAGTCTTTCCACTCTCTAGGGTAGAGTACCAGTTCATACATGTAAAATGTGAATCAAAAATATAAAGTTTTCATTGGAATTTTAAAAGAGGACCAACATCTCTTATGAAAGAGGGAATCAAATACATTTTAAATTTAAAGGCTCAAATCCAGAAAGCTAAATGAAGTAAAAAACAAAATAGCTCAAACGAGAGAATAGAGACCTCATTAAAAGTACTTTAAAACCAGCCTGAATTTCAAAGAGAATATAAAGTAACTACCCACTTTTTACAACTTTGGGTAAGTGGTAGATCCACTGACGTAGCGTAGAGTCTCCCAGGAGGTAAATGAGCTTGCCTTTCAGGCAGTCATTCATCTTAATTGTGTCAAACTGAATCTGGTTGCAAAATGTTGTTATCCACCTTCGTTGTAAAGTATAACCACCAGGGACAGGAGGCTTCATTCCAACTTGGCATTTCTCTTCTATCTTTTCACTCTCTGGTAACAGAGACACTTGTAAATGATTTTATTGTAATAAGTTAGACATCTAGCCTTCTTTCTTCATCATTCCTTCCATCACTCTTTCCCCCTTCCTGTAATGTCTGTTTTCTATTTCTATCCCTTTCTAGTACTATTCTTTGATCATTAGCTTTGCTTCAGGCACTTCTACTTACTCTTTTGAGAGAATTTGAGTCATCTTGCCTCCTGCCTATTCCTTTTCTCCTAAATTTGGTCATTAGCTAAGTCTTGACATTTCATCCTTTCTTTGGCATTCTGTCCTTCCTTCCTGATTCTGTAGCGATGTCTGTGTTTGTCTCTAACCTGAATGATGTTAGTGGTCTGCCAGTTGCTGCTGTTATATCAAATTCTTTACTTTTATTTCATTAATGAAGGAATGAATAATCTTAATTTTTCCATGTTCAAAAAATGGCTTAAAATATGTACATTAAAAATAAAAACCTCAAATGGTACAATAATCACCTGGTTGGATTTACTTTATTAAAAACCAGACTTTGCCAAATGCAACATGTAGCATTCAGTACAAACCAATATTTTGAGATATTCCAGGAAGTTTCACTAGAGTTTCAGGCTCTGTTTGCGCATGGTCTGCCTTCTCTTATAGGGAGCAGTGCAGCAAACGTCTTGTTATGTCATGACGAAGGTTATCAGATTTCTCCTGTTGTGTTTCTTTGCCACTCTCTGTGCTGCTACCCCATCACTGAGCCAGTGCCTTCAATTTTAGAATTTGTTACATCAGGACTTCTGTACTGATACTACATTCTGGTATGAGATAGGAAACCGATTTGAATGCTGTAGGAAAGACCAAGGTAATAATGAGTTAAAAATAGATTATTTCTGTCTTACTTAACAAGCCTGGAGTGAGAAGGCCAGGGCTAATATACCATTGCATGGTGTCAGGGATGCCTGTTGCTTCTGTGTTATAGCTCTGCCATTCTTACCACATGGCTTTGATCTCATGGTCTAACCTGGCTCTTTCCCTTCTCACATTATATCTAAAGTTCAGCTAGTAGTAAAGGAAGAAATGGATAGGGAGGGCCAATTGTTTTGCTTTTAAAGCATGACCTAGAAGTTTCCCACTCACACTTCTGGAAAAATATTTAGTTATGGCCACAACTAGCTATAAGGAAGGATGGCCATGGGTCTAGCCACAAACTGGTATCTATTACTAAAGAAGGAGGAGGCAGTGGATACTGGGGAACCATCAGCAGTCTCTGTTTTAGTTTCTTTGCTTAGATCCTCAAAGGCCTTATTGTCTCTGGCTGCCTGTGTTCATGGCATAGTACATCGCTACATGATTGTATTGTATTTGTAACCTGTGGACAAAGTGGTAAATTGGTGCTGGTGGCAGAATTGGAAAGTGCATCTGAAATAGCTCTTAAGTCCTGGTGATTTGGCTTAGTAAAGGGAATTTGTATAATCCTGTAATTATGTTAGAATTACAGCGTGATGTGGATGGATTTCTATGAGGCTTGATGGCATTGCACCCTGGATGACTGAATACCATGACCCTGGAAACTTGAGATTCATAGCGTTAAGTATTCTTTGTCCTCATAATGTACTGGCACACTTTGCTGAGAACATAGCCTTTAAGTTCATGGTTGTAAGCCATATCTTGTGTAATCTTTATGTGTCAGGGTATTCATTTTGCCACATCTCAAACTCCCTGAAGCACTATTTCAAACTTGTAACAAATTCGCTTATGATTACTCTTACATGTTTATTTTACTTAATAATTTTAGAATAGGCTTGAGTATTTTGAACAGTATGTGGGTAATATAATATCAGGATTCCATATATCAGCAAAAGCAACTCCATTTTAGAAGTTAATTCGCCATGTTGGCTTCTGATTAACTCCAGTTTAACTATTGTTTCTTGCATAACAGCAGGTACTTACCATAAATCTTGACCTTAGGCCAACAAGGCAAGATTTGCTGGCATTTTACTTCAATTGTCCTGTACATCCCACCTCAGCCACCCTTCCCTTGTGCTCTGTAAGCCCTGGGTCTGGCAGTAATGGTGTGGAGATCCACCATCTTGTCTCACCAATGGAGACATAAACATGGCTTCTGCTTCTACCTCCCTATTAAATGTTTCTTTCTGAGAAACTGGATGTGTCAGCCTCTTCTTTGGCTTCTCAGCTTCCTCAAACTTTGGGAGTAGGTTTGCATAGACCTGCCCATTGAAAAACAGATTCCATTATATTTTTGATTAGATAGACAGACTAATAGTCTCCCAAAGATATCCACATCCCCAATTCTTAAAACCTATGAATATGTTGCCTTCCGTGGCAAAATGGACTTTCCAGATATGACTAAGGTATGGACTTTGAGATGGAGAGATTATCCTGGATTATGTGGGTAGGCCCAATCTAATGTCACTGGTCCTCAAAAGTGGAAGAGGGAGGCAGAAGAGTGGGTCAAAGATGTGACAGGACAACTTGACCCTCTGCTGTGACTTTGAAGATAAAGGAAGAGGGATACAAGGACTGTGGAAAGCCTTAAGAACCTAGAATAAGCAAAGGAACAGGTTCACCCCTAGAGTCTCCAGGAAGGAACATGCTCCTGCTCTACCTTGGCTCAGCTCAATGAGACTGATGTTGGACTGCTGGACTACAGATTATAAGATGATATATTTTTGCTTTTTAAAGCCACTTTATTATAGCAGCAATAAGAAAATGATCCATAGATAACTGACATTCTTTTAAATATAAGGTCATCCCATCCAGAGGCAGCGTTTTTTCCTTCTATTTATATGAATTTTATTTTATATTCCTTAGTGACATGTTAAATTGCCTTTCTATAGAGCATGCATTTTGTTAAATTGTGAATTTGCATTTTAAAGCACAAAGTGGATCATACCACTCTTTTTCTCAGTTGGTTTCTGTGGCTTTCAAATCTACTGAATAATCTCTGAGATCCTCAGCCTGGCACTTGAGAACTTTCATGATTAGGTTCTTTCTCTCTTTCTAGGCTTATCCTCTGCTACATTCCACAATAAAGTCCATGATGACTTTGCTCATGACTGGAATTACCAGATAAAAAGAGTACATAAAAAATACAGGACACCATGTTAAATTTGTATTACTTCTAACAAGGGATAATTATTTAGTGTAAGTGTGGCCCATGCAATATTTCCCCCTTTTCTCAATGTATATATGACAGGCAATTAGAAATTACTCAAATTCATTTGACTCCCTTTATTATTATTTACTTAAATCCAGCAACACTACTCATGCTCTTTATGAGATTTCTCTTCTTCATTCTCTGCCTACACATATCCTTCAGGACTCAGTCAAATACCAAGTTTAACATAAGCTCCTTTGCCTTTTTACTTTCTTCATAGAGTTGGTATGTTGAATGTATTTCACAATGCACGCTAACTGGCCATTTATTTTTCTCCATTTGCCCATAATGCCTGATACCTGTTCAATGCTTGATAAATGTTTGCTGATCCTTTTGTAGTTCAGAAGCATGATGACTGGGTTTTCATGCTCATGTGTGAGATGTGCCTCCCTCAAACCATGTTATGACGTCAGCACATTAACCATATGATATGAGGAAAAATAAATAAATAAACATTTGCAGAATAAATGAATAAATGGTGGCAATAGATTATTATGAGTTGAAGTAAATATCATGATGGATGTTATGGGTAAACTAAGACTTTATAAAAAGTTATTTTAAAGCTAAGGTAGCCTAACTATTCTTTCATCAGTAGCATGGCTTTGTGTTTGTCTTTAAAACATAATGAGATAAAAACTCCATATAACATTGGTAATTGCATCAACTAAATGTTAGGAGGTTTTGCCAACAGAGGGTTAGGAAACCAAAATCCAAAGTTTTCCTACTCTGGAGCTGTAGGTATTCATCTTTCAAAGATTTTTGGACAGTGCCTTAGACTCTAGGAGATGAACTCTCAGGTTTAAATATAAATGTAGGATAATAACACTTTTTCCTTTTGGATATGTCAAGATGAAATCTCCTATAAAAATTTTGAAATAATTTCTTTGAGTTCATTTCTCCCTTTAAAGTCCAGCATGATTGACATCTTAGACACCTGCTAGGAATTGTGCTCCAGGAAAACTACAATTACTTGGATTAATGCTGATAAAATTTCCTCTGAGCATCATCTAACTCAGGACAGAGCAGACTTACTGTTACATTCGACGACATCAATGTGTTTACCGTCCTTCATAATTTCAACTCCTACTTTGGACCTTCAAAAAAAATAGAACAATAAATTAGCCTGCTCTCTCCCCACGTAACACAGGTGACTCACCTACTTGTGAGTGAAGGAAAATTTTTAATTTCCTATAACCAGAAGCTATTATTATTGTTATAAATTTTAGATATATTGGGTATTGTAAATGAATGAGGAATTTGGAAGACTTTCTACCCTGCTGAGAGCACCTGAAGTCCAGGGCAGCTCTACTGATCTGCCACATGTAATCAGTGTGTCCTGGAATTTTAGATTCAAAATATTTATCTAATTTACAAGTTCTCTTCTCCCTTTCTGCGTCCATATCTCCTATTCCAGTTTGCAGAATAGTTTCCTTGGATTACTGTGGGCTTCTAACTGGTCATGTAAGCCTCAGTTTTATTCCACCTAAATCTTTCAATCTGACTGGCAGAGTACCCTTTCTCATTGCAAGTGCAACTGCACTGCTGCTTACATCCCTTTATTGTCTCCTCATCATGTACCCAAGGAATCCAGCCTTTTTGAGTGGCATGCAGACCTTTTATCAGAGGGCCTCTGCTTCCCTTTTTAATCCACATTTCCTGCTATGATTATCTTTGACTTTTTCGACAAACTTGCTTTCTGAAGATCGTAAGATTTAGGAAGGAAGGTAGTGCATGTGTCTGGTCCACTGCTGTATCCTTAATACCTATCAAAGTGGCTGGCAGAAAGTAGTGTTGAATCTGATGTGTTAATCAATGTACCTTACATTTCTTTCCTCCAATTGATGAAAGATGACTCTTCCTGCTTGAAAGCTCTTACGCACACTTTGTTTCAAACCTGTGTATATGGCCATGTAATTGGAGGAAGGAAGAAAGGGATTAAGGGGAGAATGGGGACCCAGGCGCCAACTATAACAGATATAAGTGGTACCTGATTCCCTGCTATGGATGTCTTTTCAGGTGCCATACTGAGAAGAGAAAAGATCAGCATGTTTTCATCCTTACTAGGATTTAGGCATAGGGATGGTTGATGGGTAGGAAGAGATTTGATGAGCTGTACCATCAGAGATAAAAGGAAAGGAACAGAAACTTAACTGTGCTTTTACTTTTCAGAAGGGATCCAGGGACTATAGATCAGTAGCCAAAACTTGGATAATGAGGTAAGATTCTGGAATGCATGTTATTTTGTCATGTTTGGTGCCCACTCTTACCATATTTTTTTTGAAAGCTTATGGAAAAAAAGACTCTAAGCTTGACTTTGAAAACTGGTAGAAAGGGATTGCTGTGAACCTAGCATTCTACTTTGTTACCAATCTTAGGAAAAGTAAATCTTTGTGGGAAAAAAAGGGCACTGGGCAGAATTGAAAGAGAAAAGGAAATAGACCGAGCCTCTGAGACTTATGTAAAGTTAGCAAATGAGCAAAAGTCTCTGCAACTGATAGATGTTTTATGGCTTGGCTCACAGCTCTGGAATTTATGATAACAGATACTCACCCTTTACAAATCCTCAAAGTGGCCCATGAAGAGTCACTGATGGTTCATTCTAATCCACAAAGTAGTTTTCAGCTTAGTGGGGGAAAAGGAAAACCAAGAAGTGAGCATCTGTTTGTAAGTCAGGAGAGAAAAGCCTGGGATTGCCGCAGCTGTGATTGATAGAGGAAACATGCTTCTACCCGGTTTGTGGAGGGCTGTTGAACCAGGGGCTCACAGGGATGACTAGGTCACAATATGGGGAGTAAGAAGGACTCCTCTACCCTGAGAGGTATATACTGAAGAATATCTGATCATGGGATCAACTGGAGATAACCAGTAGGAATTGGCTTTCGAGGAAGATTACTCAGTGTAGAAAATGGATTAGAGAGGGTATGACTGCTGGGACAGAGACCAGTTGGGAAGCTGGGATAAGTAATCTAGATGAGATGATGTTGGTCTGAACTTGAATAGCAGCACTGTACATGGGGGAAATGGATCAATGCAAAGATATTTAAGAGGCAAAATTAACAAAATTAATTATGGGAGGAGAAGGAGCATGGATGTTATCATACACTTATCAAAGAATCTTTTTTCAATGGAACATCTGTGAATACATAGAAGAATAGTTATAGCAAAACACATGACTGATGGGACAATATAGTGAAAATGCAAACTTTGGCAGAGTGGTGTGTAGAGGCCCTGTGAAGACTCCACATGTCTGACCTTGAGTAGAGGCCTCTGAGAGTCATGCTCAGTGTTGCAATGGGCAGTGTAGCTCTGACTGGGGTACTTCTCAGTGAGACACTTCCCAGTATACTTGAAAAATACTCACCTGTGGAAAAGGCCTTTTTCCCTGTCAGTAAGATAAGACACTTCTCTATTCTGGGTGGTCATGTGGGTCAGAGCCTCACAGGGCATGTGTTGAGGCTTCACACAGTAGAAGGCTTCTTGGTCTCTGTTATCCAGATATTCACAGAGTTCAGCACTTGAGTTTAGGGTCAGGCCACATTCAGTGAAGACATGAGAGGTGCCATTAACAAATTTACCTTTGAAAATAATTTTGTTATAGCCTTGGTTCCTTGCCCTCCAGAGAGCCGATACCCCTTCACTGGGGTGGATGAGCAGCAGAGACAGGGAGACCTGGCCCACCCAGAACAGAGTGAAGCTGATCAGGTAGGTGCCATTGTTGAAGTCAGTCACCTTTCCTGAAGCACCTGCCATCAGGGCTGGGGAGGACATCCTGGCCCTCAGGAAATCTCCGCCATATTGCTTCCTGCGTCCCAAGTGGTCCCTCACCTCCAGCAGGATGTCCAGCTTGTCCCCTCTGCAGTACGTGTCTCGAGGGCTGAGGATGGTGGCTGTGCTGTGTGTGGCGCTGGTGGTGGTGTTCACGTGGTCAAAAGGTCTGGGTGGGATCTGCTGGTCTAGTTTCTCCATGATTTCCTTTATTCTGAGTTCAGTCTCTGTTAGTGACTTTAACGGTATGAGTGGTGTTTTAGGGAATAAGGAGTTTGTGGAGTTGTTCCAGTAATGGATGGAGATGGATAAGTTTAGAGCAGACCAAATCTGAAATAACAAGGATTGTGATCTACTATGAAATTAACCTGTCTAGTCATTTTCACTTATTATGAGTTTGCATATTTGTTTACAGTGAATATTTGTATAATTGAATTCAGTTTGTTACCAGACTGAATATTTTCTAACAAAGTGGCAGAGTAAATCAAAACAGAAGAGAAACAAGGAAAGGAGATGTCATTACTATTATGATATATTATGCATTATTATCAATATTATTTAAACTGTGACAATTTTGAATAAAATATAAACATTTATATCTTTACCTCCATATTTTAGAGAATGTCTGAACAGTTGTAGATAAATATATTCAATGCAAAATATATAGCTCAGAGAATACTTATGAGCAATAAATTGGTGATGATAAGTTTACTCTTTCTTTTCATATATGCCTTACATCCAGTCACATCCATATCTTTTACCCATCCCTAATAGTCTTTTCCTCTCCAACTGTATCATAGTTGAAGTCACCATCATTTATCTCCTGGATTATAGTGGTCACCTCAAGGATGATGACTGTCTTCAGACTTCAAGGAAGTCAGTCCTGCTTTCTCTCCATTTAATTTTCTCTTCTGTAGCTAAACCAGCAGCACCTCCCTGTTTAAACCCCTTCAGTGGCTTCTTGTAACTCTTGTAAAGCTATATTACAAAAGTCCATTTGTAATATAGCTTTGTCTGTAGCCTATTTTTAACTCTAGTTCTTGCTACTCCCTCCCTTGCTTTTGATGTCTTGATAAGACTTCTTTCTTTTTTAGGAGCTGAACTTCCTTTCAGCTCCTGCTCTTTACTAATACTTTCTCCTCTTTCTGTATTGCTGGGTATCCCCAAATTCCCCCAAACCACCTAAACATCTCTTAATACCTTAGAAATCACTACAGCCTTAGAGGTCACTTATACTTTTGGCACTATACAGTGTTTTCTAGGCACTCAGATTCAGTGATTTTCAAATCTTGCTGGTAGTCAGAAACACCTGCCAAGCTTTTTTAAAAATATGGACTCACAGGCTGCAGTCTAGATCTAATGAGTCATAATTATTAAATTATGTCGTCCAGGAGTATATGCTCTCCAAAAGCCTCAAAAGCAATCTTAGTATCAGATAGATTTGAGAAGAATGCTTATAGACCAATAACTGTCAACCCCTCTCACACTTCAGAACACATATAAAGCTTTTAAAAAAAATTTAGGCCTGGCTGCACTGCACCCCAGCATCAGGCAATAAATAAAACCCTTGCAATTGGCAACAAAGTAAAACCCTGGTGATTGGTAACAAAGTGGCAGAGTAAGCCAAAAGACAGGAGAAACAAGACAATGAGATATCATTTAAAAAAGATGATCAGAATCCAAGTTGAAGCTGAAAAAACTTTGGCAAAACCAAAAGACAAATCATTGGCAATGCCAGCCAAGACATAGAGATGCAAATACACAAAATCCTTCAAAAGGACCTTTTTTTATATCTCTGGAAAACATTAAAAACTTACATTATAGTAGGGAATAAAAAATAGAAAATAATCATGAAATATATAATTAACAGTAAGAATAAGAATATCATCATCACAATGATAAACCTTTTTCCATTTTCCCCACCTCTACAAGTCACAGGCTGAGATCTTTTACTGGAAAGTACACATATCCCTAACTTATATAATCAGGAAAAACAATCCAATCAATTTTACGAGGTAGGAATATATTTTATACTGAAACTAGATAAGTATAATACAAGAAAAGTACAGGCCCATTTTACTCAGGGACATGACTTTTTTTTTTTTTTTATTTTGAGATGGAGTTTTGCTCTT